TAAAGTAAGACGATTTATATTAACATTTTAAATGTCAAACGTCATAACCTATATGAGTTTACATAAAAATTGGTCTTGCAATTCAACCAAAGTTGGGTATTATACTAATGCCAAGAGAAAACTGTCTTGAATGATTTTTCTTTGAAATAAAAGTTAAACGTTGAATGCATGATTTTGTGTAAATATTATCAACAGTGTTTAACACTAAAATTTAAGAAGCGTGTTCACTTTCATTACTAGTTTATGGGAATGAGTACCTATCATATAGCATAAGATTATAAGAAAACCTAAAGAAATGGAAAACTTTTAACCTCTAAATTAAAGTTTTAAGTTTAATTATGTGTAGATCTATGGTCAAACTATAAGAAAAAATAAAAAATAAATGATATACTTTCAAATTTAAAGTTTTATATTTGGATGGTGTTCACTATGTCTAAATCATTAAAAGAGGTTCATAATAATTTAATAAATAAGCTATTCATTTATTATATTAAAATATTTATCTTTTTAGGTTGTGTAAAGTAAATAAAAGGTACAATGGAAAATAAATTTTACAAGTGAACTACAACTTGTCAACTTAAAATTGCAATAAATTGTGTGACAAATATAATTTGTTATAAATCTGTACTATAATGTAGCCTACACCATGAATTATAAACAACATAGTCAAACAAAGACAAATATTTAAAATTATTATTATTATTAATTTATTATTATTAATAATTTATTATTATTTTTATTATAATTATGAATTCATGATTATCTTATTATTATCATTAGATCACATCATCATTATTATTATTATTACTATTATCAATTCATTATTATTTTTATTAATTTATTATTATTATTATTATTATCATCATCATTAATATTTTTTTATTATTATTATTATTATTATCAATTCATTATTATTACTATTAATTTATTGTTATTATTTTATTTTTATATAATGTTTATTAATTTACTATAATTACAGTGTAAGAAATTCGGATTTAAATCCACTAGGCCGGTCGGACTACCAGATTTGAATATTCACTAGCCCAAAAGACATTTCACTAGCACAATTCATTTGTTCAAAACAGTTGTTTATAGTGCCTCTGAAAATACAGTAGTCTGGTCGGGCTTGTAACTGTAAAAAGTTGGTAGCCCAAGGAGAAATTTAGAAGTCAGAGGCTATCGGACTACTGCTAATTTCGAACACTGTAATTATTATTATCTAATATCTTAATCATGTGACTGATGTTGCATTGAAGTCTGTATCTTTTAATTATTGGTGCATTATTAATTTATCAATTTCTAATTAATGTGACTTTAACCCCTACTTATCCAACATAATTTGCTAATTATGAATACTTAATTTTACCATAAAAACAACAGGCCCTAAAATAAGGCAATGTATTCACATCTATGATAACAAATACTGAAATATAACTGAATAATTATTTTGTTCAACATGTAGATCTAAACCTAGGTTCCACATTGTAAAATAATGTATAAAATAAACATTTAAACAGGAAATACCTCACCTAATACTGTAAGGAACTAAACTACTAGCTCTACTAACATCAGTCACCAATTTATCTCATACAACAATTCATCAAATGTCAGGAGTCATCACAAGACGCTGCTGATCACCATGGCATTTATTTCCACATTTCCCATACAGACCAGTAGTCTATTGTCTTTAATCACATTCTTCCAATTTCGTCCAGCAAAAAGAAAATTATAGATCTATTTTGAAGATTAAAAAGCAAATAAAATATGTTTTAAAACTGATTAATAATAACTGATTTATTATGAACGTGTTAGACTTATAGTAGTCCAATATATTAGACGTTACAGGCTTGTTATAGTTTATGTCGGTCAAGCCTGACGTCTAATAGGTATTGCTCAAAAACGCATAGCATCATAAAAAATTCAAAAAATGTCTTTTGTCTTGCCTTTCAAGCTTTATTCAAAAGCTTATCTTCTTTTCTTTCAATTTCATGCTCAATCATACACAAAAACTCTCAAACAATGTACTTATCAATTTAAAATAAAATATAAACATCAATCTATTTTTGTCTATCAGCCATACTGGTTAAGCAAGGTGCTTTACAGATTGATTCCAAATTTTTGAACGGAAAAATATATTCGAACACACTGACGGTGCATGGGCAATTATTTCGTTAAAAAAATATTCCGTTAGATTGTTCTGACTCAGTTAAACGCTTGCATTTGAATTAGCCAATCAGATTTCGCGCACTTTATGGCCGCCATTTGTTTATCGGCTGTAAAAAGAATTGAAATACATGAGAGGATTTAATCATGATTTTTCGGATGTGACAGTTTAATTATTTTGACAAAAGGTATTTATTTTTTAGTTTTGTTCATAAATAGGTCAAAACTTATGTAAATACACGCTGTCTTCATTGTTTTTCGTTCCGCCCGATTTTCTGGCGGAACATGCTATGGGTTTTTGAGCAATTTCGATATGACGTTGCTTTGCCCAGAAGCAAAAATATCTCAAAGCGACGTCATATTTATAGGACTAGACTTATAGACACATTATTTTCCGAATTCAGGACAATTGGCACAAGTTAACAAAAATTTCTTGCTTCCACCATTCTTAACGCCATTGAAAATAGCAAAGTGCACCTAGCTAGATGAACCCTCCATCATTTCTTTTTTTAAAGGTTTTCATTACAATCATCATCGTTACCACACAGCGAATGATTTATCATAGCGAGATACAGAAATACATCTAAATGAATAGCCGCGGGTGAGAGTAGATCCATGGATCGTCATAATAGAATTGTCAATTTACGATACAGTAAAGCTAGCTAAAGATACTTCAGCGAACAGGTTTTATAGTATTGCTAGACCTGTTCGCTGAAGCCAACCCCGTATCGAAAGTCAACCAGAACCGTGACATTTTTATGTCATGCTGTAATTCAGTAAATTTGCGTGATCTGGACAAAAGCTATTTTAATACAGGTAGTTAGATATATTTGGGACCCTTCAGTCTATACTTTTTACCACAGAAAGTTAGATTGATGAAATATTGCAGGGGTTTTTTTTAGGAAAAGGGGAAGACGCTGGACGCTGGTAGGGAGGGGAAAAAATATACGAAAAAAGTCAATTTGGGGAAACTTTATTATGACGTTATTTATACTATATACTTAACTACATAGTAGAGAGTTACAACTATATCTTTTTCCCCTTAAAAACTTTATCATCATGCAAAATATTCTTTGCAGTATAACATATTTTCTTAATATGTATGGTGGTGAATGGTTTTTATACTTCTATTTTTGTATGAAAGTTAATACAGTATAGGTATAATAGTGTATCTGTGACACATTTTAGCTCCATATAAGTCATTTTCATAATAAGAAGTACAAAATATATTACTTTACTAAAAATAACCAAGAAAATGACAATATTTTGATAGCAACTGATTTCCAGAAATAGTACCGTTCAGTACGGGATATAGCCAAGAAAAAAATGGCTGCCTCCATGTTGAGACAGTACTTGCAGTTTCCTGCAATGTTTTTGGTTATTTTGAACAACAATTGGTGGTTTATCCTGCATAAAATGAAGAAAAATAATATTTTAAACCATGTAATTATTAAATCTGATCCAGTTTAAAGGAAAACTAGAATTTTTTGGGGGAAAAAACTTGGCTATTTACCGAGGGGAAGACGCCGACTATCGGTGTCAATTTGTTAGTAAAAAAACCCCCTGTATTGCCTCAAAGTTTATCAGCGGGTTCACATTTCATAAAATTCGCCGCCATTGCTGCCCTAATTATCACGTGACCAGCGAAAATTTAGGTTCGGATACCTTTGCATGACATTTGGTGACACGTGACCCAAATGCTATTTTTAACTGAAAACATGGCTTTGCAATTATGAATAACGGTGTATTTATTCAATAATAGACATTGTACCAAAAACATGTTGGATTTATATTGTTTTAAGTGATGATTTATGAATTATTTGTTTGTTTTTATATAAAAATCATACACTTACTAAAAATAATGTACGGTCCGTTACTAAAAATAGATGCTAGAATTTCCAAAACATGAAGTCCCGCGAGATCTCATTTGAAAGCAGACTCCATATTGGTAAACATTCTCTACATATTTCTCTAAAAAAAGTTGGGTACACAAAGTCATTGAAGTTTCATTTAAAAACAAAACATGAATTGGTTCAAAATTGATTTGTTTATCAATTGGTATTTTTATTTGACCCAAATTTGATTAATAAGGGTGATTTAAAGAAGTTTTTATGTACCGCGCACGAACTGTCAAATTCTGGTAGCCTTTGCAAATAGGGTTGACCCATAACTTTACTGTCGCAACGTCAAAATAAAAGCGACATATAAAGTTATGGAAGCCAGAACTACAGTAAAGCTAGACAAAGTACAACCTTATGTTCATTTCACAAAACAATGCAAATAAATAATTTAAAATTAAACTGTTCTCGACAACAATATTTTGAAGATCTAAATCTGAATTGACTAAGAAAACTTCTCTGTCCATATAATATCCTGCTTGATTCAGTGTTCCATGTTCCCACCAAAGACATCAAGAACAAATCCGCTTCAATCGTGGAAAATATCAACAAAATTGCTGCTTATAGGACACACAGAAAATCACTGACGTCTTATCGATTCATATTTAAAAGATACTACTATCGATTGTTGTTTTGATCAGCGATTTTTTTCATTTTTTTTCAACAATTCATTTCTTCCTTGTTACAATATTCGACGCCAGCGTTAAAAGGATATGACGTAGATACAGTACCTACGTCATAACCAGGGCAGGGTATAAGTTGTTCCCCAAATAACAGAGACTATTCTATAGAAATAGTCATCATTATTTCCAGTCCCGTCACGTAAAACAAACAAAAAAAAACAACAACAAAAAAAACAAAAAAGATAAACACCCACAAAAAAACAACAGAAAAACAACAACAAAAAACACAAAACAAAAAACACAAAACAAAAATTACCCCTCAGTTGAGTCCCTTCCTGGCATAGCGCAAACACCTTCATCTCACATATACGAAGGACAACTGGAACCTCTTCTGATACCTGTAGTCGAACTAATCTTGTGGCAACATAAGGTTTCAGCAGCTTTTTAGTCTCTTCAAAAATTCCATAACTGGTCCAAGTTTTCTCCATCAGTAAAAGCTGAATATTCAACTCGATTCCATCTTAAAATAAATAAATAAATAAATAAATAAATAAATAAATAAATAAATAAATAAATAAAAATAAATAAATAAATAAATAAATAAATAAATTAAATAAATAAATAAATAAATATAATGAAGTCGTTTTCATTGAGGTACATAGCAAAATAAAACCAATACGGAACTTCATCGATTACTTTATTCGAAGTATGACGTAAAGTGCCGGAAAATCACGAATATGTAAAGACTATGGTGGGTGATTCATATCGCTTAAAAACACTTCATAATTCATTTTACTGAGCCCTTACATTTAAATGCTGGTAATACCTTGATGACATTAAATACGTAAACCCTAGTTTTACCATCTTTGTGTTTACATGTTGAATTCTGATTAAGCCGGTGCGAAGGGGCATTGACGGTAACTTGCACTTTCCAGTACCGTCTATGAACAGGCTCAATCAAACCGAGCCTGCAGCATTTTCAATTCTTCCGTGTTGGGCTTTGTAGGAGCACATTTGTCTCGGAGCACATTTGTCTTACGTAAGACCGATGCGGTCGCATTTGTCCCGCATGAGACAAATGAGACCTCTAATATCTATCCCAAAAAATTCATTTGTGTGACAAATGTGCTCCGATCAAGATTTTTAAGGGTCTCATATGTTTTAAGGGACAAGAAAGCACATTTGTCTCATGTCATTTTTATGAATTATTTGTCACATATTTCCCCACGGCAGATATTCTTTTTTAGAATCGAGGTTCGCCGTTTTACCTCATGTCAAGTGTTATCGTCAATAGGTTTACTTATGCTTTCTTTCTGAAAACTTAAAGTGAACTAGTAATTATAATATCTCTAATTCAAGAAATTGATTGGATTAACCTGAAGGCGTACACTGAAACATACTCACGATAGTACAATGGTGACAGCGCGATGGCACAATGGCACGTCACAAGCATCTCACTTCCTCAGAAATCATTATTTGAATATAAATAAATTCATACTTGCCCTATCTAAAGAAGTAAAAATTTATTCATTTCTGAAAATTCTCGTGGTACGGGATACTTTTCGACATTGCGAGATCTCGTGTTACAATATCGTGCCTCGCTTCGTATCTCATCGGAATGTCGCGTCTCGCCCGATTCTGAGTGGCCCGATATAATTATGGAATTACCCGGATTGTTTTAGGAACTCATGCATGTTTGTAAGTGCTTTTGCAATGGCGGATCTGAAAGCCACAATTCTTGGAAAATGACGATTTTTATACATATAATGGTCTTCTTACTTTCTTCCATAGATCATTAAAGGGCTTCCGTAGCGGAGTGATTAAAAAAAAAACCACTTGCCCCTAACCGCTGTAGGTTCGACACATATGTAGGGCGTCGAACTTTTCATGCGAGGATACCGGTCAGGGTCCAATGCGGAATACATATCCGCACGTAAAAACTATCGCGTGCGCACGTAATAGTATCGCGTGACCACGTTAAAGCTATCGTGTGCGCACGTAATAAATAAGAAAATTCTATGTCCCCTTTATGCCACCGTAGATACTACCTTGTTTTTGCTAAGAATATTTCTAGTGCCATAAATCATTTATAAAACTTTAAGCATTGAAAATAACGTATCACAATTGATAACAAGAAAAGCATTCAAATTTGATGCAAAGCATCAAAGGGCATCCAAGCAAGAAATACAGCAAGTGAAGATGAACTACATGTAGTAGACATCTGATGACCAGATATTCTTATAAACTTTTCAATGGTAAATTGCTTTTTATCAGAATTGTATAATATTCATGAATTGCCGGACGAAAGACATAATATGTTTGCATTTCATTTCCTGCACAATTCTCCAGTTCGTTATTTATAACCATAGCGTGTCACGAATGACCGTTTCGTTAAACTAAAACTACTTCTATAAATAGATTTTCGGACTTTCACAATGTTAAAGTCATCATTCTATTTATAGGTTCAGCAATACCTAATAACCCACTTTGTACTAATAAAAAACCCGAAGGATAAGATAATTTCATTTGAATGTTTGCATTGCGAAATTCTCCAGTTCGCAATTCATTGTACATATCGCGACATTTCATTTTTGATAATCAAACACCCTCATACCAATCGGAATGATCGGCTATTATGATCGACGAAAAGGCCCGAGAAGTTGCAATTGTCCTTTCACAAAATCTGATTTCATTCCATAAGGGGCGTCGCGCTTCGGCGCGGACGCCAACGATAACGTGTCACAATTAATAACGATAAGAATAGACTTGCCGCATATGTGTTTGGGTTCTGGATGCTACACTTCTAGTAGAAATTTTCATTGTGACATGCAGAACAGAGATATTCAGATGAGCATAATTATTACCTTTTAAGAATTTTATGGAAAAATATGAGACAAATGTGCTTCGAGTGTCCTTTCTATTGTGTGTCGAACACATCTGTCTCATTTCCAATTTGTCGCAAATATGAATGTTTTCGAACACATCGGTCACACTTCATGAGACAAATGTGCTCCGAGACAAATGTGCTCCTACAGGGCTTTCTTTAAGTATTCTGTTTTTCCCTACTTTAATCTATTTTCCAGTATAACCGGAAACTATGTATAAACCTTTTATGAATCTAATCTATGTAATATATAATACATATACAAAATGTAAACTATAAATTACCATCTACTTGTTTGTAAATCTTGACGGATGTCAGTATATACTCTGCTCCAAGATCAATGATAATGTACGGGTTCAGTTCCGTCTTTGTAGCCACACATGTAGCGCCGTCACCTACATACTGACCTATGTCGCCATCAACGGCATTGCTGGACGGCCAAGTCGGATACATTATACTTGATGCTAGAGTGTCTTTCTCCAGGGCGACATTTTGTGAACCTTTTTATTTAGAAAAAGAAGGGAAAAAGACTGGTAAGTCCG